AAAAAATTTATATCTTTATGTTTGAAGCCTGAAATGTGGCAAAAGGTTGAAAAGTTCAAGGGGGCCGAATACTTTCGCAAGGCACTGTAAGTGTAAGAAATTAAATTTAATTAATTAGTTCTCCTAGTAGTGCCAGGTTTGGGCAATTCAGGGTCACCAAGTGTGTCCTCGGCCTGTCAAGCATCAGTGATCCCCTGGAGTCCTGAAAGCTTACTGTGCTGTCGGCGAAAGAGGCATCACTCCTACAGGGGGAAGTCTCCTGTGCATTGTGGATCTTGCGATTTGTCAAAGGCAGAGCAGCTCTGACAAGCAGGCAGGCTGGGTGATGCTCTCACCCATCCCATGTGGTACCAGGGGCTGTGTTGACTAACAATCAGCTAGAAGAACTGAAAAGTGACCACTGCCAGGAAGCACATGCACTTATTTGCCATTGTACATGCTGTGTCATTGATTGCATTATGCAATTTGGAGAAATCATTTTCAAATAAAATGACAACTTGACACTTCAAGAAAAGAGCTTGAAAGCTTGGAGGTGCATTCATACAAAAAAATCCTGTTCTCACCAAATCAGTACTTATTTCTTTCCATGTGTGCTTACTAAAAACACTGCCCTTCAAATGCTTTTCAGTTCAAGCAAGCAGTTAATCTGCCCAGTGAGTTGTCATTCAGCTCCCATAACTTGTTTGTGCGTATTCTGTGTGTATTGTACCTCTCGTTTTCTGTATGAAACAAACTTGTCCCAGCTTCTATTTTTTTTTTTATTTGGTTGATGCAGTTATCCAAAGCACCTTACATTTGCACCCATATACTGTACACAGCAGGATCTTTTACTGGAGTAGCTGCAGTGAGGTAGCTTGCTCAAGTGTGAAACAGCAGTGTCACACCTGGGATTTGAACCCACAACCTTCTACTTAACGTCCAGAACCTTGACAGCTGTGCCACGGCGCTGCCCAATTATCTCTCTGGTCCTGGTTTCCTTAACTTTAATCAGCTATCTTAAGGCTCTTAAAAACTGGATTAAAATTCTTACTATTTTGTGATCTCTTAGATGCAGAAATGTTTGAAAATAATAATACATAAACACTTACTAATCTGGCAAAACACTGTTGTGTTTTGTGAAAACTAGCAAAAGACCAAGTCCTTCAGATTAGCTGTTAAAAACATTAATAAGAAAAACATCAAGCAAGGCTTTACAATGGTCAGTTCTTCACACAATAAAGGGATCTACATCTCTTTACAAGAAAACAAACAAACCTTAAATAACAACAATCTGGCAAATGATAGAAACATACTACTGTAACTTCTTATGCAGACATCAAGGATCGGAGTTGATTCAAAGGCTACAAGTATGGGAAAGCTCTGAGAATGGTCCTGAGACTACAACAAGAACCTGGCTCACATGAATGAAAGAGCTTACAAGATGTGTTGGGTTTTGTCCCAGTACAACATCCCAGGGGCTATCAGTGAAATTGTGCTCTATGGTTTGAGAGCACGTACATTTCCGAAAGCAACTTCTCAACAATGCAGAGTTGTTTTTTTTAAATCAACAGTTCCTCTGTCTCATGCAATAAAAATTACATACATGTGCCTCTTTGTACATGCGTCATTAAACCTAAACAGGATAATTTGCAGGTTTCTAACTGAAAACATTCCACAAGACTTTTACATAAAGAGGTGTGGGAGTATGTTACAAGTTACATACTTAAGAAGTTACTCAGATGTGCTGCTGAAGCCGATATCCTGTCAGGACAGGAGTCACTTTTTTACACAAAGGGTTTTAGAGTATGGTACAATCGACTATTTATTGAAGTCAATACACTGGTTTCTTTCAAGAAGCAAGCAAGCAAGGTTGTTATGTGAACATGAAAATCAGTCTTTGCTTTGCCATTCTGAGCTCTGAACCTGAACAGTAAAAGTCCAAAAAGCTTATTAAACAGTAAGTATATGCTAAAGTCATGGATAACAAATTGCCTACAGTTATCTGTTGCTGTGTTATTGCTATGCGTGTCAAAGCCTGCTACTTTGTCACTGTATCTTGCTCCTCACTGGACAGCTGAATCAGGAAACATTAACAATTAACAATATATAAACCAGAATCAAATGCACAAATGAGAAAAAATATAATGTATAACTTTATTTAAGCTTATTGCTCCAATAAATAAAGTCCAAACAAAATACTGCTTGATCCTGGGTAAATTTTCCTGTAGTCTGTTGTGCTGAAGTTCCATAACCCCAAAAACTTGGAAAATAATCGCAGTAACATCTTATAGATATATAGATATATATAGATGTATAGATAGTCGCAGTAACGATATAGAAATAAATCTCTCCTAGATGCGAGCTGAACTTTGAACAACAAAAACAACTGTGTTACTGTCTGTTCGGTGTACCACAATTTCATTCACATTCTGGACACAGTGTGTTACTGTCTGTGCAGTGTACCACATTGGCATTCACAGTGGACACAGTGTGGTACTTTCTCAGTAAGAAACAGACCTTCACCCTTTGTATGTTAGTAGTTAATCTGCGTCAAACTGGAATCCAGAATCTGAAAATAACCTAACCTTTTCAGGCAGGTACTTCTGTAGACATTTTTCAAAACATAAAATGTTTCCTAACTGCAAAACAACTGCAGACTTAATGCACGTACTTGTGAAAAGTAGTCGATCCTGCCAGTGCCTGCCAACCGAGACCTCTTCGGATGTCTCCTCTTTGATAACAAGCGGTTCAGGACTGTGATCCCCAAGGTCTACATCCTGGGAAGATAAGAGCACAGATTTTACTTTAAACGCAGCTCTGTCTTTTCAACATTAATGCAGTTCACAATCACACATCAGAATTTCTTTAGAGGCTCAAGGACTGTTACATATAGTGTAGCGTGATCCCATCTGCACCTCCACATGGTGATGTGTCACTTACTCACTCGGAGCTCACTGAGGACTTGTACTTGGAGAAGCAAAAGACTGGGATTGTCTTTAACTGGATTGTCATCCATCACTGCTGAGGAAGCTGTGTATTCCCTGTCCGAGCCGTGGCAACATGGAGCCCATCCTGGAGCACAGGGTGCAGGTGGACCCAGAGTCTGGATGGGACGCCAGTCCAGGAAAGGTTTCTTACTCAAGACGCCAGCGTCCACCCAGCATGACAGGGCCGGCATCCAGGGCATCTCCCAGCTGCTGCACAAACCTACAGTCTGCTTTGGCAGACTGCGTGCTTGTGGTCTGTGGAGGGCCTTGACCTACACTTAGTGAGCACATGTCATGTTAAAGAGAGGGTACAGACACCTCTCGTGTGGAATCTGTCTTTCGAGGATGAGAAAGAAAGGTGTGACATGTCTGAGCAGGCTGAATAATGGAATTTGCATTCTGTGCTCAAACCATGTCCATGCATATTCTGTTTTTAAATATATATTCTGTGCATCCTCCTCCTTAACACAACATTTATGATAGCACTAGTTGCTAAAGCCAGTGTCTAAAATGCCCTCAGAAATACTGCCGTCTCAGAGCAGACTGAGAGAATGTAAGCAGATTTCTCTCTCTGCTCTTCAAGGGTCTTGGCAAAATAAAAAATATTTCAAATAATTTAAGAGAACAACAACAATGGGGTTGACGTGGGCCACTAACTTCCTCTTTAACGATGACAGCCTGCAGCTCAGCTGCCTCCTCTGTAGGGCAGACTGGACGCACACCAGCGACTTCCTCACTCTCCACGGCGCTGGGCTCCTTGACTTCCCACAGGCTGTCACACCATTCTCTGCCAAAGCCTTCCCTCACAGAGGAGGCCCTTTTTTTCTTCACTCCTGTGAGGAAAACAATGACACAGAATAGAATGAAGTATTAATGCACAGTACCCTCATGGTACAGGGTGACTATGTCATTCTGTTACATGTCCCCTGGCCTTGTCCTGGAGGGACAATGTGTCTTTAAAACAGAAGCAGGGAGAAGAACAGGGAAAAACTGTTAAATTGGTACAATTAAGCCACTAATGAACTGATTATGGATTCTGGTTTTTGCATGCCAAACAGGGCTGAAAACTTGTGGACACACCAGCTTTCTAGGACTAGAATTGGACAGCCTTGATGCATACACACTGGCACTCCTGGACTTGGACTTCATGTTCCTGCTAAAGACACAGCGTCCCTATCAGAGCAGGACTGGACAACCTTGCTACAGACACAGCGTCCCTATCAGAGCAGGACTGGACAACCTTGCTACAGACA